AGACATTACTATGTTTTTGCACACGACAACGCATCCTTAACGCATAGGTCATTATAAGTCCCCGCTGCATTTCTGTGGACACCGTGCACGTACCAGAATCCGGCTTTCAAACGTAGCCCAATTCATTTGTGGCCTTGTTTAAGAAACCACTTACTTGTTGGTCACTCGCTACAAGTTCTTATCCGGAGATTCTCAGTGAGAACCTAGAAGTAGCTGGATTAGGTCGAATCACCTAAATCTTAGCGCTTTCAGACCTGTCGGGAACTCATTCTGTGAGCATGACGGTGTCGGACATTTGTGTTCTCCTAACCATTCATTCGGTGGCCAGTTTCCTCATCAAAAGCATTTCAGTTTGGTGTGATTCCTTGCGTGGACTTGTTGTACCTTCTCAGACAGTTGTCTGACGAAGATATTTCATTGCCAAGACACGCATCCTAGTTCGTCGAACAAAGTATAGCAAATTCGTTCTTCAACACTACAGTAATGGATGGTGTGGGTGACCAGTTTGTCCCTGAGAAAGGTGAGATATTACCCTATCGGGAATTGAATTTCGATTCTTCTTCAAACGAGGAAGTCAAAAAGGAATATAATAACCGTGACTTACGGTGACTCTCGGTGAATCCTATTTTACTGAATTAACTTCAGCTGTGTTCAACGAAGGTTTAGTTGTTCCAGCAAGGATGCATGTTATGACACCCCTTGCGGATTCACGCTATTTGACCTGTCCAGGTGAGTTTGTCTGTAAACTTTCCGTAACCCCACCACCAGCTACGGCGGGACACATGGGAATGTATCTTTGCTTTGTGACGATTGGTCGTGTTCCATAGTTTGCCACGCGCCAAATGGAACAGGAGCTAGGGATAGACGGCAATGTCCACTCACATGCATCCTAGCATTTTCAAAGTGGACAGCGGGAACAGCCGAATACGGACAGCGTCCCGATTGTGCATTTATTCATCTACGCTAAAGTTCCACCTGAATATGCTGTTTGTCTGTGCCTCCAAGC